TAGGTGTATGTGACTTTCTTCTTTCAGACGAATCCAATCGGAGTTATATTAAAAACTTTCCTGGCCCCTCCAAGCCTTACAATGGGGGTAAGCGGGTGTTCGGTTGTCAACAGTTCAGAAGACGCGAAATAAAGTGCATGCATCGATAATAATACGTCCCTCACACGGCGCCGGGGGGGTGAATAAAGGCCTCCTGTAGCGAATCCATGCGTTTTTGTAAGATAAATATTAGAGATCGACCGATATATCGATTTACCGATATTTTTTCCTATATTTAAGCATTTTACAATAATCGGATATCGGTTTTGTAATGTCGGATTCACCGATAAACGCCGCCATCTTGTGGGCGTTTTGAGAATTGCGCGCAGGATCGCCATTGCAACGTGTCTGAGGGGAGAGGAGACAACAAAAACGACATGGTGCAGGTTTGATTTGCTGTAGTTAGTAAACTTTATTTAACATAGCCATTAATGCACAAATTAGATGTATTACATAAATGCCTGATATGCAGTTTATGCAGCTTGGCTCGAAGAAATAGAGACGAACTCACGGAGTAAAATAATCCGTCAAGTCCTGTCCCAATAAAGACGTAACTTTGTGTGAATTAAATAATATGCAGCCATGAATGGGCGCATGTTGGAAATAAAAGTGCTGAATTTAATTCGCTCTCTGTTGTCTATATGCTCATCGTTAGTCTCGTGAAGTCGGAGTCACGTAGATAATCCGTCAAGATCCTCTCCCAATAAAGACGTAACTTTGCATGAGTTAAATAATACAGCCATGAATGAGCGCATGTTGGAAATAAAAGCGCTGAATTTAATTCTCTCTCTGTTGTATATTTGCTCATCATTAGTCTCGTGAAGCCGCTTTCATATTGCTGTTCACTCACCGGGTTGTTGCGGTTGATGCTCAGGAAATGTTCCAGCACGGCCACCGCATGTAACTTTTAACAAGATTCACTTGTTTAAAACACCCTAAATTGTATTAAAATTTACTATATAACCATTATTTCACTAATAAACATCTAAATAAATACATCTCTATGGAAATTAATTATTTATTATCTCCGCGAGCGACCGCAGTTTGAGTATAGTTCTGTGTAACTGCACAGATAAACCGCGCTGTCAGCAGGCATTTCATAATCTAGAACGACAAAAACATTATTAATAATTCTGATATGATATACCAGTTGAGAAATGCAATAAAATACGATGTTTTGTTTGTTATATTTCAATATTCCAGAGAACATTATTCAGTGAATTAACATTATCCAGTGAATTATTCTTGACTCTGTAGTCACATTTATGATAGACCTTGGACCGCAGTTTCATGTTTTCTAAAATCTTTCTTAAATGATTAGAGATCGACCGATATATCGATTTACCGATATTTTTCCCGATATTTAAGCAACATCGGATTCACCGATAAACGCAGCCATCTTGTGGGTGTTTTGAGAATTGCGCGCAGGATCGCCATTGCAGCGCGTTGAGGGGAGAGGAGACAACAACAATAGCATGGTGCAGGTACTTGATTTGCTGTAGTTAGTAAACTTTATTTAACATAACAGCCATTATAAACCTACTAAAACTGTAGTTTAAAATGAAGTTGATATGACTCCTTTCATTTATTTATTTTCTCCATTTGAAAACATTAGACATTCTACATTTATTTCACTTTATTTTAATATTAATGAAACTGGACCCAGGATGATTCTGAAGGAAAACTCTGTTGCTATAGTAACCACAACTTTCACACATATCTGACTGACAGATAAACCACACGCTCTTATTTCAGTGTTGTTTTTTATTTTGCGGATATTTCAGCAAACACTTTGCTTTGTACATTCAGTTTATAAACATTAATTTAAATTTAAAGACTGTTCCAAATCCTGCTGCGCCACAGAGCACCACTCACATAGTTTTCCATAAAATCACATTATATTTGTCCCAAAGTATTGTAAATATAGGCTACATAATAAGCCCGTTTCCACCGCAGGAACTTTCCCCAGGAACTAGGGACTTTGGGCCGGTACTCTGTGTGTTTCCACCGCAGGAACCAGGGTCTAAATAAAGTTCTGGGTAAATAATTGCCCCTCAGAAAGTCCCTGCTCGCGAGGTAGTACTTTTGGAAAGGTCCGGAACTTTCGGGGGCGGGACTTGAGCGCTGGACTTTAATCCACGCTTTTCTTAGCGTCTTTTATGAAACGGCCCCTAGGTGTGTTTGATTAGTGTTGGAGCTAAACTGTGCAGAGCTGTGGCCCTCCAGGAACTGAGTCTGAGGACAACGGTCTAAATTAAAGGCTAGTCGCAGGACTGTAAAATGAATAGATGTGATTATAATCATTTGATAAAATGAAGAGATCTCGCCGTAGCTACTTTTGGGATCATTTTACTCTGTTGGCTGTTTCATATCCCGTCACAGATGGGGCTCGTGGTTGTATTCAATTGCAATGTTTGCAGTTCACATTATTGGCATTTAGAATAAAATGATCCCAAGCGTAACTGCGGCGGAGCTAAGGCAAAACACACTGCTGCTCACATTAAATATAATGTGAGTATGAGGTACAAAGCTTTGTTTATAAGAGAAATAATAGGTTAGCAGCAAATGTTACATCGTGACCATGCTTCTGGATTCATGCGGTTCGATACCTGTACATTTAAAGCCATACGCGGCGGCTTTATGTTCTGTTTTGCCGGTTGGTCACGAATTTCCACAACTTTAATAATATTTATGGTTTCTTTTCCCAAATCCTCACTGTCTCACCCTCGAATTGTGCAGATTTATTTTATTGTCGTTCACTTTTAATCACGGTTTTCACATCTCTTACTGTGGTAAACATGCGGGGGGAAATGAAATGATTTCGTGGCCATTAATTAAGAATTCGTTCCTATGACTTATTTTGTTCCCTTATTTTCGTTAAATCCTGGGTTTTCTAGGGAACTGATTGAGCGTTCGCAAAGACCCGCCCTCCTTAGTTACTGTTGCCATGACCACAAACAGTGCTGCCAAACAAAATAAGGTGAAACCTATGAAAATGGTTTAAGAAAGCACATAGTGCCGTAGTTTCACCAGTTTAGTGTCGCAGTGATGGTCTTTTAGCAGTGAAGGACCTGTGAAAGTTTACTGAGTGCGTAACGTGATGACATGAAGTGACGCGAGGTTAGCTGCACTGTAAACAGATGAGCGCACATGTGCATACAGCTCCCGATCGGGGCCACGGGATTGTTCACAGAATGATAAGGGCACAGGTTTTAACATTTTATTATTTCACACTCAGTGCTTTAACTGAAGCGCTGCAAGCCATGCATACAGCGCCGGACACGACAGGTTTTCTGGTAGGCTAAACAAGTATTTAAAGGAATTCCTTTAGCTTATTACTGTTACTGTGGCAACCAACAACAGCACAGCTTAACCCCTTTCGCACATTTTTATATTTAGTTATATTGAAAAAGTTTCAATTCAGTCGATCTTTTCTACCCCGTCGTATCTGTCGGCAAGATGGCGGATAACAGCGGCACATAATATCTGTGTTCTGATTGGTCAGATCGCCTGTCAATCAAGCTCCCTGCGAATGGTCAATTAATGAAACATCTATAGTCACTATATATCTGTCCTGCTCGTGTCCGCAGCTCTGTCAAAGCGCAGAGCCCGATATCAAACAATTATCTGGGGAACGTATAATTAAACATGACTTGTTTATTACATTTCAATACAAAATAACTTTGTATTGTTTCTGTTTGAATGTACTTTTAAAGTTTGGATCACATTAGAAGCGTAATTTGTACGTTAGTGAATTATTTTCGCCAGAGATCCAGCCCCGTCACCGTCACATCGCACGAAGCACAAAATTAAACTGTTTAATCGGCCATCCATAGCTTTAATTGACTGCATCTCTTATCGACAACTAATCAATCGTCGATTAATCGCTGGCATCCCTATTGTGCATCTTTCAGCACAACGTCTGTACGCTTTATATAAAGAGCTAATAATAGCCACAGACCGCGCGCTCTTTTCCGCACTTTTGAGTCCTGAAGTGAAGTGCTCTCAGAACGGTTCTGGACTCTTACTCCGCCCATCATGTATTACACGTGCCCAGTTTCTAACGGACTTACTCTAACTTCTTAGGTAATATCAGTGTAGGCATGTGCCGGTAAGATAACCTTAAGCAAAAATATCACGGTATTGTCGTTACAGCTCTAAAATGTGCTATTTTTAAATGACTCTGTAAAAAAAAAACTTTTTTCCGCTGAACACAATATATTTTGTTTTTGAGCAACATACAGAATATTAGGAACAATAGAATTTGTTTTTTTTCTTTGATTTGTTTCCTTAAAAAGAAGAAAAATAAAGACTGACATCTTTATTTAACCTAAATCTGTAATTACAGTTATTTAATTTTAGTTATATAATTCATATACATATCATTTATATAATTTCACATCATTTAGTTATATAATTTCATAATTTGATTGAATAATAGCCCAATTTGAAGCAAAAACTGAATGTTCTGACTAGCTTTGTGAAATTATACTACATGCCTGAACGAAGCAAACAGCAGCAGCTCTAAATGAGACGCAGATTCACTCTCTGACAGCAGGAGGCGCTCATGGAACACCGGATACGGCGTTTCCTTGGTTACCGCTGTAAACAAAGCAGCACTGTGCTGAAACACTGCTTTAATATGAACTATACAGAGACGAGATGAAAAGAAAATACCACGTAAACTTTTCTGAAGACCTGTAAACAAAGCAGAGCTGTGCTTATGAACAGCAATGATACAGCGTTTCCTTGGTTACCGCTGATACAGCGTTTCCTTGGTTACCGCTGATACAGCGTTTCCTTGGTTACCGCTGTAAACAAAGCAGAGCTGTGCTTATGAACAGCAATGATACAGGATTTCCTTGGTTACCGCTGATACAGCGTTACCTTGGTTACCGCTGATACAGCATTTCCTTGGTTACCGCTGATACAGCATTTCCTTGGTTACCGCTGATACAGCGTTTCCTTGGTTACCGCTGATACAGCATTTCCTTGGTTACCGCTGATACAGCGTTTCCATGGTTACCGCTGTAAACAAAGCAGAGCTGTGCTTATGAACAGCAATGATACAGCGTTTCCTTGGTTTCATATAGACCCCCAAATCAATATTGAGGATTGAGTTAATATCAATATTGAGTTCGTGCATCATGAACAGTGAGTGATCTGCCTGCTGCAGTATTTTTCTCTGTGCGTCCGTCTTCAGCGTCTCTGGCCTCTGTTAACGGCCGTTTACAGACTTCATATTTTCACATAAATTACATTTTGGAAAACGATTGCATTGCAACGCAGTTTGTGCAAGTCCAGAACAGAGACGAGCTGCTTGCAATAAGACAAAAAACGTCCGTTTGCCGATCGTGTAAGTCTTAACCTGAAGGATTCCTACACTTTCAGTCTTTGAGAAAACATGAACAACAGCGCATACCGCAGGAACGGTATAACGGAAAATATTAGCGGTTTTGAAACAGTGACATTTTTAAATCGTGGTATACCTTGAAACCGGTAATCGGCCCATGCCTATATCAATGGTATGACATATTTCAGATGCGAAAACATATATTTAATTATTTGATCAAAATTATTGCCAGGGACAATTTGGTAGTCGCTGGATATCGGTGTGGACATGTCCCTAGCGTCCCGCCTGATTCTACGCCTCTGGCTAAAACACACACGACGCAGAGCAGCGTGGTCCCTTTACAGGGATTGTGTAGTGTTTAGGGCTCACTCGTTCTGCTGCTTCCCCGGTGGTTTGTAGATGTTAGATACGTGTCGACCGATATCTCCACACACTAGCGCTTCCAAACAGAGCTCTGTCACGTGACCGGTGCAAACACCTCACTGACAAATAAAGCACGTCTATTCTATTTTCTCTTCAATAAAAACATGTCATTTCATTTGTATTTGTGTTTTTAACAATGTGCATGTTTGTGTTGTTTAGTAAGGAACACAACAATGGTGCAATGAAAATCAGATAGCACCTAATTTACTGCCGTATAGAAAGACAAAAGATACACGTTTGATGCGAGTAATAGTGAAGAACATAGTCTTTATTGTGCAAAATACAATGAAATTTGTTAACTCTATCCTACACACACACGCGCCCCCATCTTGCTAATGCTACATGCTAATAAATATACAAATAACCCTTACACATGACTCCCAATGAGCTGAAGTCCTGGCTGACACGCTGTTATTGACCGCCAGATGGCGAAGAAGAGCGCTGTGCCAGAAGCCGCGAAGCACCGAAGCAGTGTGGGGTAAAAGCCTCGCCGCTTCGGCAGCCTCGCTCGGCACATCTACTAGATGTAGAGATATTAGAGATATTAGAGATATTAGATGAGATATGTTACCTGTGGGACTCGGAGCGAAGCGGACGCGCGGCGTGGGCGCGGGATGTCTCGTGCACACGCCTCTCCTCCAGCACACGTTCCTCAAAACACCGAACATCTCCACGCGCCCATATCTGAGCTCGCGACTTCCGGAGAACCGCCGCGACACTTCCTGCTGCACAAGGCAAAACAAAAGTCTCTTCTTCTTCTTCTTATGTTTGTTGGCGGTTGGCAGACTAGCTTATTAGTGCATTACCGCCACCATCTGAACTGGAGTGTGGAGCATCGAGGCATGTATATGTATCATATATGGACTGTATATCATACTAAATCATAATAATAATAGTCATAAATAAATAAACATCATTATATTCTTATATAATTTCCTGTATCTTTAAGATATTTTAACAAAGTTAAACTTATTCCTTTTTAGCTTACTAAATATATCTTCTAGAATCACGCTTCCACCTTCTTCTATTACGTTAGCTTCTAGCGTTTGTCGTTCGTTGTTACATGCTCTACAATGCAGCAGCGCATGCTCTACAGTTTCAACAATCCCACAATGCATGCACGATCCATTCGGATGTGTCTTGATTCTATTTAGATTTCTATTCAGTGCAGTATGTCCTGTTTTAATTCTTCTCGTCTTCTCAATCCCATGCCATTGTCATGTATTGCTACTTCTCTTTGAATGCTATATAGATGTCTTCCACTCTTCTGCTTCTCCCCAAGTTCCTGCCGTGCATTTATAAGAGCTTTCCTAATTATTATTTTTGCTTCTGCCTTAACTCATTTTTATGTCAATTCCTATCTGATTCAAGTTCAAAGAATTCTTAGCATGCTTATCTGCCTTCTCATTTCCCTCAGCTCCAACATGTGCTGGAACCCAAATAAATGAAGCAAAAATGCCCTGATTTTTCATTCTATATACAGTATATATACTGCAGTATTTCCAGCATGACATCTTGTCTGCAGTTAGGCCTGACTGAATGCTCTTTAACACAGCCAATGAATCTGAACATATTACTGCTTTTGTAATGCTATTTTCCTCTACCCACTGCAGAGCCATAACAATATCTGCTGTAAACACAGATAAAATCAGCTAGGGGTTATTTTCTCAATAACTATTTCATATTGTGGAATAACTACTGCTATTCCTGTTTTCAGAGTTGCTGGATCTTTTGAACCATCAGTAATATCTGTATCATATCATAATACTTCTGATCCATATGTTTATTAACTCTTATTTGTATTGGGTCACACTCCTGTTTCTGCACTTCATCTGTTAAATACAGATCTACTGTAGGCGTCACAAACATCCACGGTGGAACTGCTGACATGTGTACTGTATTACTGAAGTTTATATTAATCTATCAATTCAGCTATTTCCTCCATTTCTTGTCCAATATTCTTAATATTACTTTTCCCATATTCCCAACTTTTTAGAAATATTGCTTTAGTAGGGTGTTCATTGTTGTGCCCCATCAGAGATGCCCAATATACCATTTTCAGTTGTTTACGTCTTATTTCCAACGGCATTTCTCCCATTTCAACTTGCATGGAAGCTCTAGGGGAAGTTTTAAATGCCCCACAACATAATCTCAAAGCCTGCGTCTGTACTGCATCTGCTTTTGTTAGTAGAGACTTACTCGCCGACCCATAAATCATACGACCATAATCTATAGCTGATCGGATCATAGCCATATATATATATTCCTAAAAGAACTGCTACTCGCAGCCCAATCACTTCCTGCTTCACAATGCAAAACAAAAGTCTCTACTTCAATTTGACAACAGTATTTGTTTGTTCATTTATTTATTATTAAATCATTCACATTCAACATTTTACATTAGCCATGGGGTGAACTCAAGGAAAGAAAGATACAAGATTACAATGAAATGTTAACAATTTTAAATAAAAACATGGAAATGCTTTCATACATTAATACACTTAACAGGTTTCGTGTTTGCCAGATTATAAATAGATTTTAGATATTGTTTAACTTCTGATTTCAAAATGAGTAGTAATGATTTATAATCACTGTACTTGTATTTATGTATACTAAACTTTGCCAACAAATGAATCAAATAATATTCCTTATGGAATGACACGTCGTAAGTGAAAAAAACAAATAAAATATTTCCAAAACAAAGTTGAAAGCTGGGCATAATAACCAAAAACTGTCTGAATAAGGACAGCTCCAAAACAAATGAAAACGCGTTTTGACGCCTGACGTCACAGCTGTTTCCGGTAAGCTCCTCTAGAGGGCGCCACATGTGTAATATCGCGCAAGAACAAGACAAGGTTTGCAAGCACAAAGACGATTATAAAAGAGGGGTACAATACATAAAATTATACTAAAGCATATTATGTTGTCTTGTATTTATTACACCATAGAACTACATGTTACAGGCACACTTTTAGTTTCTTAAAGAATTCATATATCTTTCTTGGAGATAAGAAGAAGGTGTTTTCTTTGACTGTTTTCATTTACAAATGTATGATTTTGCAAGAAATAATGGTAACACTTTCTATGAAGCCCATATTAATAACACATTATAAGGGTATTCTGAAGGCATTATAATGAATGCATGATGCATTATAAAAACCCTTATAATATGTTACATCATCTTATGAATATATTCATAAGAACAGTTTTAATGTATTATAATATTTCTACCTACCATAACCTAACCTACAGTAAGCCTACTAATACTCTAATGAGAGTTAGTTGACATGTAGTTGCAAAGTTGCTTATAGTCAATAGACTAAAGGGACCATCAAAATAAAACGTAACCTAACATATAAACATTGATTTTTTTTCAGTTGAAATTATGAACTAGCTCACATCAAAATTAATATTAGCCTCACAGGGAACACTCGAGATGTAGTAAGATACTGTGCAGACCTTAAATAAACAATGTCGAGATATATAGTCCATTATAAATGTAAAAGTAGGTTTAATATGGTGCTCACTGTGTTATAATAATCATCATCTTAAAAGTTATAACCACAAATGCGCAAGCATTATAATGTATTATAATTGTTATTATGATTATTCATAAGATGATGTAACATATTATAAGGTTTTTTATAATGCATCATGCATTCATTATAATGCCTTCAGAATACCCTTATAATGTGTTATAAATATGGGCTTCATAGAAAGTGTTACCGAAATAATAATACAGTATTTATAAACTTAATATACTGAAAAGGGTCTGGTTTCAAGGAGTTAAAGATCATACATTTTAGCTGATTAAAAAAACAGACTTTGTAATAAAGTGAATAACTGTTTAATCAAACTGAAGACAAAAGCAGCAACGGAGTGGAACACTGTTATTGAGGAGGTGTTTAATTTACTGGGTAAAAATTATCAATCCTTTCAAGAGAGACTTTATTGTGCAAAAGATATTTTGTCAAAGAAGCCGGAAATCCTTCCATTCTGTTGCACTGAATGTATTTCAGTCAGGATCTCTTAAGTCAAAAAGAAAACCATAGACAAGCCTTTAAGTCAACTTTTTTATTGGCATGTTTACTAAAGTTACATTTGGCGGTATGGCTCTGTTTCAAGTTCCCTGTCCTTTTCATGAGCTCCGTGAAAGCCAGCACAGGGAAACAGCAGTCGCTTCAGGGGCAGCCCTCCTATTTTAAGAATAGGAGAATAGCACAAAAAACCCCAACAGACCATACCTTGCAATCCTCCCTGGCTCTTCCTGCTAAAGAAGAGCCAGCAGAGGAACCAAATGAGCGTTGCCGGAAGCCAAAATTTATTTATTTATTTATTTATTATTTTTTTATTTTTTTATTTTTTTTTTATTTGCTTTAAAATAGCCAATTAACTACGAGAAGTCAGCATAAGAAATGAAGATGGAGTAATAAATATTTATAAAAGTAAACACACCCAACAGTTACTGAAGCCATACATTTATTTTAAACCCTTATTAGGGAGCTGCACTCATAGCTTTTTGAGCCTCAAGGATGGCTCGAGTGTCGGGTCGGAGGTAACGTTCATAAGCAACTGACGACCATCGGCCCATGGCTTTCAAGGTAGAGATAGGAGTGAAGGAAGATGCAGTTGTCGCAGCCCCTATGCACAGAGAATGAGCTGTGTAGCGTTCGGGGGGAAGACCACAGTATTGGCAGAGAAGGTGGAGACGGGAGGCAAACCAGGCTCTGGACATATTCAACATTTTACATTAGCCATGGGGTGAACTCAAGGAAAGAAAGATACAAGATTACAATGAAATGTTAACAATTTTAAATAAAAACATGGAAATGCTTTCATACATTAATACACTTAACAGGTTTCGTGTTTGCCAGATTATAAATAGATTTTAGATATTGTTTAACTTCTGATTTCAAAATGAGTAGTAATGATTTATAATCACTGTACTTGTATTTATGTATACTAAACTTTGCCAACAAATGAATCAAATAATATTCCTTATGGAATGACACGTCGTAAGTGAAAAAAACAAATAAAATATTTCCAAAACAAAGTTGAAAGCTGGGCATAATAACCAAAAACTGTCTGAATAAGGACAGCTCCAAAACAAATGAAAACGCGTTTTGACGCCTGACGTCACAGCTGTTTCCGGTAAGCTCCTCTAGAGGGCGCCACATGTGTAATATCGCGCAAGAACAAGACAAGGTTTGCAAGCACAAAGACGATTATAAAAGAGGGGTACAATACATAAAATTATACTAAAGCATATTATGTTGTCTTGTATTTATTACACCATAGAACTACATGTTACAGGCACACTTTTAGTTTCTTAAAGAATTCATATATCTTTCTTGGAGATAAGAAGAAGGTGTTTTCTTTGACTGTTTTCATTTACAAATGTATGATTTTGCAAGAAATAATGGTAACACTTTCTATGAAGCCCATATTTATAACACATTATAAGGGTATTCTGAAGGCATTATAATGAATGCATGATGCATTATAAAAACCCTTATAATATGTTACATCATCTTATGAATATATTCATAAGAACAGTTTTAATGTATTATAATATTTCTACCTACCATAACCTAACCTACAGTAAGCCTACTAATACTCTAATGAGAGTTAGTTGACATGTAGTTGCAAAGTTGCTTATAGTCAATAGACTAAAGGGACCATCAAAATAAAACGTAACCTAACATATAAACATTGATTTTTTTTCAG